AGCAACAACATCAAGCCACTGACAAAGAACAAATTAAAATATACCAAGAAAGAAAAGCTTGTAGTTAGTTCAAGGATCGCTGGCCTTTAAGAGTGTTCTGTTCCCCTACCAACAGGCATTTAGGTTGTTTTAATCTTGATGTTGTGAATACTGCTGTGGTGAACATGGGTATTCATATATCTATTTGTGTAGGGTTTATACCAAATAGTGTGCTTGCTGGGTGCTAGGCTAGGTTGACTAGAGAAACAAATTCAGGGTCATTCATACAAAGGGGTACCCCATGTCAAAAAAAAAAAACCAAAAACGAAAAAAAACTCCACTGGGTGGAGCTTTCATAGAATGCATTTTTCCCTCTAAGCAAGCATCAAGCAACTTGCTCTGAGTTAGTACACCCAGTGGCATCACCTGGGAAAGTGATTTTTTTTTTTTTTCGTTAAAGCACTTTAGTTCAAGAGAGGCTATGAAATTTTGTTTCCTGTTCAGGAAAAATGCAGCAGCAACTGTTGTGATGTTACGCACAGCTTACAAATACAGCACTATGGGAAAACCTCAAACGTATGAGTGTTTTTTTCATTTCAAAAAGGTGAAATATCGATTGATGACAAACTTTGTTCTAGACATCCTTTAACTTCCTGAAAGGAGGAAAATGTCAACAAAATGTGTGCACTTGTGATCAAAGACTGACAAGGAACCACTGAAGAGATGGGAAAGTTATCTGGACTATCTAGGAGCGCATTTCAGCAAATTTTAATGGAACATTTTGGAATGAGAAGGGTTTTTTCGTAATTTGTGCCTCAGTTCTGACTGACCAGGAAAAGGAGTATCAAGTGGAAACATGCCATGTTTTGAAAGAACAGCTCCAAAGCAGCCCAGACTTTTTCCCCAAGGTCATTAATGGTGATGAGACATGGCACTAGTCTTATGACATCATCACCTCACCCAAAAAAAAGTTTGGCAAGTGAAATCAAAGATCAAGATGATGCTTTTTATTTTCAATGTGAGGGGGTCGGTACATTTGGAATTCATTCCACCATGTCAGACTGTTAATCAAGTTTTCTATTTAGAGGTTCTGAAAAGATTTAGTCACAATGTCTTGACAAAAAAAGGCCTGATTTGTGGCAGATGGGGGACTGGTTTTGTGACCACAACAATGCACCTGCACATGCAGCCATCTCAGTGTGCCAGTTTTGGGGCAAAAAATAGCATGCCTTTCTTACCCTATGCACCTGACTCACATGACCATGCTCTATGCGACTTCTTTTTTCTGGGAATGAAGAAGGGCAAAA